GATCTCATGTGAGAAGCAAAGCTATATAGAATCATAGTTGGAAGAGACCACATGGGCCATCCAGTCCAACCCCCTGCCATGCAGGAACTCAAAATCAAACCATCCCCTACAGATGGCCATCCAGCCTCTGTTTAAAGACTTTCAAAGGAGACTCCACCACACACCAAGGAAGTGTGTTCCACTGTTGAACAGCTCTCACTGTCAGGAAGTTCCTCCTAATGTCGAGGAATCTCTTTTCCTTAGCTTGCATCCGTTGTTCCGGGTCCTAGTCTCTGGAGCAGCAGAAAACAAGCTTGTTCCCTCCTCGATATGACATCCTTTCAAATATTTAAAGAGGGCTATCATATCCCCCTCTTAACCATCTCTTCTCCAAGCTAAACATACCCAGTTCCCTAAGTCGTTCCTCATAGGGCACGGTTTCCAGACCCTTCACCATTTTAGTCGCCCTCATTTGGACATATGAAGATGCTTAAGTTTTAAGGTTGCTGTTGCTGCTGTTTTGCTGTGTGCCTTCAAGTCATTTCTGACATGGTAACCCTAACATGGGGTTTTCTTGGCAAGTTTTGTTCAGAGGTGTTTCGACCTTTGCTTTTCTCAGAGCATGAGATAGTGTGACTTGCCCAAGGTCACCCAATGGTTTCCATGGCTGAGCAGGAATTCGAACCCTGGTCTCCAGAGTCATAATCTAATGCTCAAATTACTACACCAGACTGTCTTTTTTATTATAACAGATTACTATTATTTGAACATTGGAAAGCTTGTCCCTTAATGGGCTGGCTGATGTCCTTTATTATAAGGAATGTCCTCTATTTGAAGGACATAATTTTTTTTCCCTTTAATATAGACTGAACAAGAATCTAAAAAAAAAAAATCCCAGATCTGGGGATGTGGGCCCTTCATAAAGGCAGAAATGTGTGTGTCATTTAATTTCTGAGAGTGGGCAATATGCTAAATTTACAGAGAAATGCATGGCTAAGTTAACTAAAATCATTACTCTCCTTTGGTATTTAGGTAAAACACAAGCTTGTTAATAGCTGCTTCCCGATTGTCAATCCAATATGTGATTAATTTTTTACTGTTGCTTATTGCTATTTTGAATATCTGGCAAGATTACTATGTGTTCAACTTTGCAGACAACAATCCAGGTCAAGGCTGAATTACAGATAAAGAGCCACTAGAAGGGAAAACAGGGGTCTTCAAGTTGTCTATCTATACAGTGGTCCCTCCACATTCACTGGCATCAGGGGCACGGGACCCCTGTGAATGTGGGGAAACCACATATAAAAAACATTGTTCTTTTTACCTGAGAAAACACCTGTCTAGGAATCTCCAGATCCTCCAGTGCAACTCTGTGGTCAACATCTGTCAGATGTTGATCGTAGAGTCATGCTGGAGGACCTACAAATGCCTAGAGCAGTGGTGGTGAACCTATGGCACGCGTGCCAGGTGTGGCACTTTGTGGGCACGCGTGCTGTTGCCCCAGCACAGAGTTTGTCAGAGTTCATTACTAAAAAGCCAGAGGGATGCAGCACTTTGCAATAAATAAGTGGGTTTTGGGTTGCAGTTTGAGCACTCAGTCTCGAAAAGGTTCATCATCACAGGCCTAGAGAAATATTTTCTCTATGAACTTCTAGGTTTTCCAGCACAACTCTATGGTTAACTTCCAGCAGAGTCATGCTGGAGGACCTAGAGATTCTTAGAGAGAACATATTAATCAAAACCACAAATAATAATCTGCAAAAGTCAAAGCTGCAAATATTGAGGGATGACTAGTTACTTGCTGGACAATAGACTAAATATAAGTAGGCTGACTATATGAACCATTTTAAACAGAACAGTACCATTTGTTTGTTTTTTCATATTTTCAGACTACCCCATCGTTTTAATGTAAATGTCAGTTTTGTCCCCATTTCAAGAAAAATGCCGTTATGTTGCAAAAATGGTTGGAAGATCCCTGTTTCAAACTGTGGTTATTATTTGCAACAGATCAAGTCTCTACATTCCAATCCTACATTAGTTTAATTGGAAAAGATAATATTTCAACTACAGCAGTAGCCACAAACACTGAAAACCTTATAAACAATTTAGAGTCCAGAAAAAGTGAAGTGTTTGTAACTACTGATGTAAAAAAAACAACAACTGAAAATGTTAGTAGATACAGGAGACATTAATGGAGTTAAGTTTTTTGAAGTAATTGAGAATTTCTATGAGACCAGCTTAGAATACATCAACAAGTGGAAGTGCAGAATAGGAGATGTTGAGATGTTCAAGTGGATGCTACTAAAGAAGACGTCTGAATGGAAAGAAATACAGGACAGCCTCAAAGAGGAACTCATCACATGCACAGAAACAGAAGGAACTCATGCATTCGATCAGAGGACCCTCATAAAATCTACAATTGTGAGGCATGGAATAAAGAAAACATTTCTGTATCTGATAGATGGATAAAGATTTTCTGAAATGACTAAAAAATGTCTAGACTTTCAAGACTTTTGTAATATTGTAGAGTTTATTCTTTGTCTTCCAGGAAGTAGAGCACCTGTTGAGAGAAAATATCCCATCCCGTTTTTGCCATCCCAATGTCCCTTTTTTGTCTCAATAGACAGCCTACACATAAGTTACTTGATCACTGGTCTTTTCCATGTAATGGGGTTAATATATTTCTGTTTGAATTAAAGCCATGATGTTAAATGCATATATACATATAAAACTGACATGGTTGGATACACAATCTGGCTTCTTTGTCACCAGTGACCAGGATGGCTAGTTAGACTTGGTGGGAAGTAGGGTTGCCACCATCTGCCAAGACATGGGCTCCCGAGGCCTGCCTTGAAAGAATAAGTTCTGGAGAGGAATTTTAGACTCATCCGTGGGCCCTTGGTATCCACTTAAGTTTGGTTCCAGAATCCCCCGTGGATACCAATATCCATGGATGCTCAAGTCACATTAAATACAAAGGTAAAGTAAAATGGTATCCCTTATATAGAATGACAAAATCAAGGTTTGCATTTTGGATTTTTTAAAATATTTTCAAATCATGGACGAAGAATCCATGGAAATGGAGGGCCAACTGTACAGCTAAATAGACTGTCAGCAAGTATAGTGTTCTGTTAGAATAAGCCAGAGTTGTATGGACCCACAAGAGCTGTACCCAGGGCACCAGGGCAGCAGCAGCCAAAAATACACCTCAGCATCCACTTGTTACCCAGAAAGCTGGAGGTCCTTGGAGGGCACCCACAAATTAATATGCTTTATGGGCATTTTAGGGGAACAGCTCAAATAAGAATACCTTGGCTGGGGCAACATTCAGCCTGAGATATTTATTTATTTATTTATTTTCCTTTGTATGCCACCTTTCTCCCCAGAGGGACTCAAGGTGGCTCACAGACAAAACATTTAAAATATTTTTCCCCTTTGTATATCAGTTCTAAATCACACAGAACTCCAAAAGCAATTCCAAATAGGTTTTGTAGTTTATTAACAAAGTAATCAGCACACGCACGAACTAAAAAAGCAAAAGTGGGAGAAGGTGAAAAATGGTGGCCTTACTAATGGTAATACTGTGCCAGTTTTGAAGCTTAGCTCCAATCAAAGGATGTCCAGAATACAGGTGTCTCAATAGCCACTGCAGCAAGTGGAGTAGCCGGCCTACTGAGGAATCTAGCAGAAGTCAAACAGAGATTTTGTCCTGGTTTTGTCCTGGACTAGACCAAATTGCTAGTGCCTAGGTAGTGGTATATATACTCAAAATCATGTCCCAAGTCAGCCATTTCGGATGAATGGATTACCTCACTGCTATATGGTTTTCACAAGGGACATAAATATTTTGACAATTGACATGAATATCTCAGACAAAACAAAACTACTACTACTGGAGAAGAGTCCTTTGTCTGTGTTTGCACAACCACCTTCTTTGGCCAGAATCCCATCATCACCCTCCATAGAGAAAGGGTTTATGCTGATTTCTTTGGGTGATGTTATTGTGGTGGTGCTTTTTCTTCTTCCCGTGCTGCAGCCATTCAGATTATCAAATATGGTATGGCCAGGTCTCCACAGTGGGGTTTCCTTTCCTGGTTACCCACCTCAGCATCCCTATTAATATTAAATTGATATCAAAATTGAGAGGGGTGATTGGGGGCCTGACCTTGGGGTAACATACTCATACAGTGTACTCCCATTCCACAGGAACCTTTAATAGGATCAATAGGTTACACCAGCTTCAGGGTACAAGTTGTGCACCCCTGACACATGCATGTTATGTATCTTCACGTGACCCTATCATAGGGTTTTCTAGGCAAGATTTATACAGAGGATAAAGTGCCTTCATCTAATGCTGAGAGAGAGTGACTTGCTAAAATATCCCCCCATGGACTTCTATGGCTGAACTGGGATTCAAGCCCTAGTCTCCTGGAGTCCTAGTCCAACACTAGAACCGCTACTCTACACTGTCTCCTGCACACATGCATTCTACAATTTAAAACAGTGGCATACCACTGATGGTACAAATATCAAAGTTTTTTAAAAACACCTGAAATCTTGTTCATGTTTACTGTGAATTAGCTCTGCCTGATGATTTCCTTTTTGTTGTGTGTCCTAAAGTCATGTCTGACTTATGGCAACCCTAAAGCAACTTTATCTTGGCAAGATTTCATAGAATCATAGAATTGGAAGGGGCCTCATGGGGCATTGAATCCAATTCCCTGCTCAGTGCAGGATCTCCAGCAGGTAGCTGTCCAGCCTCTTTTTAAAGATGTCCTGAGAAGGAGATTCTAGGGAATTGGTTCCATTGCCGAACCATTCTTACTGCCAAGAAGCTCCTTCTAATGTTCAGTCAAAATCTACCCTCCTGTAACTTCAAACCATTAGATCTAGAGTCATAGAATTGGAAGAGACCACAAGGACCATCCAGTTCAGCCCCTTTCCATTCTACCCTCTGGAGAGTTTGCCATTGCTTTCCTCTAAAAGAGTGTGACTTGCCAAGGACACCAAAGGTGTTTCCGTGACTGAGCAGGGATTTGAACTCTGGTCTCCCAGAGTCCAAGTCTAATATTCAAACCACTACACCATGCTATCTCCTAAAAATGACTTTCTACTGGCTCCTAAAAAAGAACTATAGAATTTGGAAATATGTTTTGTCATCTTAAGATGGGACACGTTAGACTAGGACAGGGGTAGGCAACCTTTCCCCTTTAAGGGCCGAGGGACTTCAGCTTCCAGAAGTCCCATGTTGGCCAATAGCTCCTGGGATTCTGGGAGCTGAAGTCCCTCGGCCCTTAAAGGGAAAAAGTTGCCTACCCCTGGACTAGGACAACACAAATGCTCATGATGCTAAAATTGCAATATATTTGGACTACCATGCCGCTCAAGAAAATCGAAGGTTGCACAGTTCCCACCTCTGCTTTACTCCTATCTCCATAGCTACCAACGTAATATCTTAGACTTAGCTCAGCAGGTAAGAAGGCAGGTGGGGAGAAAATGAGATTGCACATACGAACTCTCTGGGCAGTGCAACACCCTGCATTACACTTCACTCATTGGTTGATCTAACCTGGTGTCACTCAGCAGCTAAAAGTGGTGTGATGTTTTTCACATGGCCATTGACTTCAAGCATGCCAAACAACTTGCTTTCACAAGAGACTAGGCACCAGCTATAGCAGATACGGCCTTACCATCATTGAGAAGTACAATCCACCCACAGAAACATCTTGCATATTGTTTGCTAATTGCATTTGACTACAGATGTCTTGCAACTTTATGCAATAATGGGAATGTACCACTGGTAAGTCATTTTTCACAAGAACACAAGTCTTCTTTTTTTTCTTTTACAAGTCTATTTAAAAAAAGAAGAAGAAGAAGAATAAGCAATGATATTTATTTAACTGACTGTGTTCACCATGAAAGGAGAGAAGAAGCAGGCACAGCTCCATCATGCAGATCAGAAGCAGATGAAAGGCCCTGTCTTCACCCCAAGCACCACAGCCCTGGCCTTGGAGGCAGAAAAGAAGGCATAGCTCCACCATGCCTGGGCCCATAAGCAGATGAAAGGCTCTCCCTTCATCCCAACTGTCAATGCCCTGGCCTTAGAGAAAGAGAAGAAGGGGCAGGTATGGGTTCATCATGGCTAGACCCAGAGGCAGATGAAAGGCCCTCCTTCCATCCCAACTGCCCCTGCCCTGGCTTTGGGGGGAGAGAAGAAGAGGCAGTATCTGCTGGACATAATCCCCTTCCACAGTGCCATCTTTTCCTTGTGTGTCTTATTTAGATTGTAAGCCTGAGGGCAGGAAACTGTCAAATTAACAATTTGTAAGCCACTCTGAGAGCCTTTGTGGCTGAAGAGAAAGGGAAGGTGCATGGGCAGGTGGGCAGGCAGTTGGAAAGAATGACCTCCTTCTAAAAAATCTCTCCCATATATATGCTCTTCTGAGATAGGAATGACCATTTCCTATAGCAGCAGGCACTGCCATCCTCTACCTTATCTGAATTGTTGGGTAGGTGGGTGTGCATTTTGCTTCTGCCTCATTACATTGGCCAGGTTATTGCACAGAGATCTAGCCATCTTCCTTTGTTGCCTAGGAAGAATCCCATCTTGAGAGAAAAGTGGGATATAAATTCAATCAATTAATTGTTGAGCACCAGAAGACAAGGCAGGAGTTTCTCCTTGACTTTAAAAATAAATAAATTGAAACACCGTCAATCCTTCAATTAAAAAAACAAAACAAAGGCCAAGAGAGCTTTGTTTTACATTGGCTTTGGTTAGCATGAGTCCCCCATGCAGTTATGCATTGATTGCGGTGTGCAACCCTTGTACTGAATAACAATGATACGCATCTGAACCAAGACACCAAATAGGCAATCAAAAGCACAGGTGCATCCATGCAAACTGACATTGCTTGTGCAATTTCTCTTCTGCAATCCTGAAATGAATACAGCCATTCCACATCAGACAAAATTATCCAGTTACTTCACAGTGGAATTTACATACATGTAAGAGACCAAAAGGATTCTGGTGAAAGACTTCTAGAGTGGCTGACAGTTAAAAAGTACCGTAAGACATATGTAGAGAAATGGCTGAGATCTGCAATGCATAACTTTATGATGACAGAGCTATTTCAGTGAGATACTACACAACCATGTTAAGTAAAGTGGGACGATGCACAGTGGGACATTACACAAATGTCATATTGTGCAATAGGTGCTCTCACCACTTAACAGGTCACTGTAAAAGTGGGAGGCATTTTTCCAGCTGGGTGTTGGACACCCATGACTTTCCACTGTCCTCTGTTCTGGATCACCAGTATATGGCTCAGTTGGGGGGGGGGGGGGGGGGGGGGGACATTGCTCCCACCAAGCATTGTCATTGTGCAAGGAGAGTGCCACAGTCTCCCGCACTGGAACCATTGCACAACAGCTACACTGTTTGTTCCACTTGTGTAATGCACTTGATGGCGCAGCACTGACAACGCTCCCCTCCTGGGAATATGAGCATTGCATAATACAACATTTCTAAACTGTACAATTATAAGTCAGTTTACAATGCTATAAATTCCCAATGGGATGCCAGATAACAACTTTAGAGTGATGTCTTAATGCAGTCTGAATGCAAATGGTGAGGGGGTATCCCCATTCAAAATGATAGCAGCTGAGAGTATAGCCATATCACTCCAAACTGGCCTGGAGTCCAATGCTATTGATGCTTTTTCAACACTGGCAGTATGTTTGTGAAAGAATCTGGCTGACCTCATAGGCCAGATGAATTCCTATAGGAACAAGTCCTTGATTCTCTTTATGGTTCTGACACAGGGGTGAACACCCTCAAACCCAATCTGGCTTTGTGGAATTTCCCAGATGGCCACAAACCTCACCACCTGGTCATTCCCCAGCTTTTGTATGGCTCTCCATCCATCCTCCTTTCCCTGCCACCAGCTGAGATATCTTATTGTCACCATGAGGTTTAAGCTGAAATAGGCTGGTATTTTTGGCCATATCCTTTTGGCTTCAGCTCCAACCACCACTTTAATATACCCTCCCCAAGAGCTGAACCTGGCCTTTGGAGGACCATCGCTCTTGTTCTAATGTCTGCTTCCCCTTCCCTTATGTTTGTTGCAATGAAAGGCTCTCCTAAGTGACAGAACCAGCTAGGGAAAGTTGGGAAGGAATCAGTGCTCTTACATCTTATCTAAAAGTTCTTATCTAAAAGTTGAAGCTCCAAATGTAAGGAGAATGAAAATGTTTTAGAGGAAGCACTACTATTGCCACCATGTGTACCTCACCTGTTTCATTTCAAATTTATGGCTCCCATGTCAGTGGGACAGTCAACTCACTTTGAGTTTTAGTCCAAACTGTAACAGAAGTACCCAAGGAGCTGATAAATTCAGCACATTGGATAGCTCCCTTAAAGTTCACTGCCCCATGAAAACCACCAACCATGAGTGATCAAAGCCAGGTAAGCTGAAGGTTTCCACAACCCGTCCCCATCGCTTCATAGTTTATCTGCAACGGAAAGACTCAAACTCAAGGAGACAGAAAAAATGCCATTTGTTATGAAACCAGATTTATTAAACTTTTTGTACAGGAATTTTACAACGTCGTCATATCAATTTCCAAATATGTACATATTTACAAGACATCCAACATAGTGTTAAACCAGCTTTCCACCTACCAATATATACAGATTCATCGGCAGGTCTGAAGAGAACCTTTACAAACAAACAAAAACAAAAGCCTCCAACTGTATCACAGATACAAATATAATAAAGCAATCACAAGAGCTTTAGTGCAATCAAGGTCAAAAATAAACTTTTACCTCTAATTCTCTTGATTATATCAAGTTAGTATTGCCAGCCATAATTCACATTTAAACGGCTTTTTGACATCTCGGGGTTTTAGGACAGACACACACATACATGCAACACAGCCATTTTTTAAAAAAAGAAACCCTCCAATGGCAAAACATCATGTGGAAAGTATACAGCAGATGAAGTATGCAAAGCTCTTTGAAGAGCACAACAGCTCGACCCTTCTGATAGAGATAAGCCATGTGGTGTGCTCTTTAAAATAATTCTGTTTCATACCCACCCCACCGTACACATGAACTCAACCTTGCTAGCACATTCACCATGATATTAGTCCATAAGAATGCTTGTTTGCCTACTGCACGCCCACCTTCAATCTGGGGCAAATAAGCAGAAAAATAAACAGGAAAAAAAAGAAAGCCAATCTTTTCTCTAGCAACCTGGATGAACTTTTAAAACTGAATTTACCAGGACAAGTGCTTATTTTTACAAACTCAAACAGCCTTTGTCAGGAAGCTCCTTGCCTCATCCAGAAATCTAATGCTTCTTCAGGTCTGTGGATTATCCAGCATGACTTTGAAACTCTACACAAAAATGTAAAAGGGGGGGAGAAATTTCCAGAGGCATTATTATAATCAAACAGGAACATTTGGTTATTGTTTTGTGGCTATCAAAATGGTCAGCTCTGTAAGGAGTTCTAATTATTATTTTATACAAAACAACAGAGTACAGAAAAGCTCTTTTTTTTTTTTTTTGGCCTCCAGCTCCCAGAATCCCCATGCAAGCAAAGAGCTGCAGCCCCAAAATTAGATTCCACCACCACCCTACAAAAACTGCAAAAAAAAGGTGACACAATGCTTTGAAAAGCAGAGCTCACACAAAGAAAGCCAAACACATTTCAGTGTATGTAACAAGATAGGGCTTATCTGTGCCTCTTAGGCTTGGAGGCCCCACCCGACTGATGGGTTTTGGTATTTGGGTACATGATGGTACTTTTTGAGCAACTACACCCAGTTCCACTGATGCAAGAGAGCCCAGCAAGTTTAGATAATAGGCCATATAGATCACTTCCCAGGGGGGAAAAGGCTGTGCTTCAAACATAATGCTAAATGGTTTGCAAAAGACTCAGCACTGAGGCCAGACATAAGGTTTACACATGGATCCATGAGACCTTGTTCTTGCATTGACCCTATGTCACAATTCAATGCCAAATCAGGTTTTTGATCCATAATGCCCTGTATTTTCACTGTGGATAAGCAACAGTTCCGTAAGGTCTGGAAC